TCTAGATTATTTTTTCCTTCAGAGAGAAAAGAGCAGCAAGACAGGAGGGATATAGTTACCATGGTTTGCTTTTAAAGGCTCCTGTATCAAAATAAATGTCAGCAGCCAATCATGGTTGGCAAAAGTGTGTTTAATAGAATCTTCAGGCAGATTTCCTACCTGCCTGCCCTGCCCCTCCCTCCACCTTAGGGCCCTAAGATGTCTGAGGTTTCATTTCACAAATAAGCAGCAGATGAAAATATTTTACAAGGTACAGCACAGTGGATATGGAAGACTAAGGACCCAACTCTCGCTTTAAGAGTAAAAGTCTTGGACTTCCCTGCCCCATGCAGTGAAGCAAGTTTTATATACACTGCCCATGTGCTCTCCTAACATTTTCTTATATAAATGTAAATATTTTACAAAAAAAGGTTTTTTTCTCACCAAACATAAATTTGAGTGAAATACAGATTCTCAACCTGTGAAGTTGTTTTCTTCACTAAAATATAAATGCTGATAGGAAGGGTAAATGTCTTTTGCCCAGTGGAGCTCACTGAAGTCTGCACCGCACTATGAAGAAGGCACTTGTGTTTTCTGAGGTCTCCAGCAAACGTCTCAGTGAGCACTTGGAATTGCTGTTTTCCAGACCCCAGCCAAGGCCTCCGAGTGTCCAGTCACTGAGGCAGTTGGGGGGAAAATGCTGAGTAAATTTGATTCTAAAATTATGGAAATTAAAAATAAAAACAGCATGGACCAGTTCTTAGACTAGAATAAAACTACAAACAAAATACAAAGTGTTCATTCATGAAGATTCAAATCTGCTTCATTCTCATAAATTATAAAATACAAAGGTGCCTGTTTTAATGACAAAACTCAAACAGTACTGAAAGGGGTTTGTGTTAATATACAAAAGGTCAGTCCCACTGAGCCAGGCCCCACGGAGCTGCACACAGGCCAAAGGGCGACCTCCCTACTGCTGGGCCAGAAGGGCTATCCTATTGGCCTTCATCTTCTCCAGCCACTTGGCTAGGTGGCTACTGGTCACTTCCATCTCTTCAGTCTTGTCCAGTGCTGTTCTTAACTCTCGTTGTAGCTTCCTCTTTTCTGCTTTCAGTTCATCTTCAACTTTCTCTGCATTCTCAGCAGCAGTTTTATATCTCAGCACCTGTCCCTCAACCTGGCTAATACTTTGCTCCAAGGTAGTTATATCCTGTTCTGCTTTTGAAAGCTTAAATTTGTATTCACTTATTTGCCTGTTGCCATCTCTCTGCATTTCAATGAACTGCAAGTCTGAGCCATTCTGCAGTCCTGCCAGGTCACCTGCTGTGCCATCATTCCTGGAGCACTTTTGTCCCGTTCTTCTTCTAGCTGCACCTTTAGTTTTCTAATCTGTGATAATAGCTCTTCCTTTTCTCCAGCAAGTTTTCATAGCCTTACATCTAGTGGCCCTTCTCCTGCTGACTCCAAGACCTGAGCAGCTTCCTGAGACACAACAGTAATGGCTCCAACCACTGGTTCATGATTGACATCACCACTGGGAGTGCCATCAGGGATTATAACTAAGCCATATTTCTCAATAAGCTCATCTCTTTGCCGAAGGCCTTCTTTAAATTCATCCATCTTATTCTGCAGCACACTACACATATGTTTCTGCCTTTCCAACTCCTTTGATTTTTCTTCATTTTCTCTATAAAATTCTGCCATCTGCTCCTCCTGTTCTTCAATTACATCCTTGAGGGTGTCTACCTGGTATATCAAGTTGTTCTTCTCATTGTCTAATTGTGCATTAGAAACCATGGCTTTCTTGTATTTCTCTTCCACTTCTGACAAAGACTCCCACAATTCACTTAATGAGGTATCTGGATCTATTAAGCTGCTGGTGTCCCCACTTCCTCTTCTGGATGAGTTTCCACTCAGAGGAGTTGTTGCCGAAGCAGAATTTTGAGATGAAGGCCTTGTATAATTTTCGGCATACTGTTTGTCAGATTTTTCATCCAACTCTTTTTGTTGTCCTTCCAGTTCTCTCATGCATATATCTTTTGCTTCTGCCCGAGCAGCACGTTTTGCTGCCAGTCTTGCCTCTGCCTCTCTGGCAATGTTACTCAAAGCTTCATCTGCAGAAAATTGATCTTTCACAGGTGTTCTTTTCCTTCCAGAACCAGGAGTCCCCATCTTGTGTTCTTAATAGTCTTTTAAATATGAAAGTAACTTCACTTTATGTTCAGGCCTTAGTGATGGTAGCTCTCCTTTCCCCTGACATTTATCTTGCTTCTAGACTCCTTCATTTATCTTCCCACATCTGTCTCGGGGCGGCCTGTGGTGCCACCGGGAAGGGCTGGAGCACGGCTGGCCCGCTGAGCTCTCACCAGTGAGAGGTGAAGGGCAAGCAGTGCTGTGGCCAGCCTCAGCCCGGGTTCTCCAACCAGGCGGGCCGAAAGGATGTGGTGGCTCCCAGTGTCGGCGACCAGCCAGTCAGTCACGCTGTTGAGTCCCGAGCACCATGGCCGGGACAGTGGGAACTGGACCCCGGGACCAGCTCCTGATTTCTTAACCGGAAGCAAGAAGAGTGGCGTCCCTTCCTAGCCTTCTCCTATCACTGACTGTGAGGAGCACACGAGTCCCCTTAGAACAGACAAACTGGCTTCTGAAAGCAGAGGCCCGGGGAGGCACACAGCCTGCCCAGGCCGAGGCCTTGGAGAGCAGGGCAGGGTGTCCATCCGAACCAGGGCTCCTGCTGCCTGCTGCTCTGTCCTGAGGCCTCAGGGAGAGCAGCTACTATGCGGACCTCGAGGAGTCCCCAGGCTCCCCTCCCCAGTCAGACCACTCCTTCCGGCCATGGCTGGGGGACAGCAGGACAGCATGAGGCCTCCAGCGGTCAGGTCCCCAACTCAGGGCGGGTTGCACCTCAGTGAGCTGTGAGCCAGGTGCATGGATGTCCCCAGGCCCTGAGCCCCAGGTCTGGCTCTGTTCACAGAAACACCAGGAAGAGAGATGGCAAAGGGATGCAGGGGACACACAGGCTTCAGGGGCCTGAGGCCTGGGCCAGAATCCTCCTGACAATGACACAGAGCTGGCCCTGTGACCTTACACAAGTTCCTTCATGCTCCAGGCCCAGCTTCTGGTCAGTAAAACGGCAAAACTAGCAGGTGTCTCTCAGCAATGCCACAAGGGTTAGGGGAGATAACGTCAGTTACAGCACCTGTGTCACTGGGAACCTGGTCCCAACACTGAGGAACTGCCCAGTGACTTTTCTCCGTCCTTTGTGCCCTTGATGAAAGAATTCAGTCAAGACTTCCAGGGAGCAGAGTAAAAGCGTTGGTACAGTTTATTGCAAATCAGATCGAGTTACGCCTTCAAGGGAGAGGGCTGGCAGTGTCACAAGACATCTGCTCTGAATGTGACTTAGGACAGAACTATGGTGATTATGATGCTTATTGGTCAATTATCAATTATCGTAGAAGTTACTTTGGGATTGTGAAATGTCTTCCTGTCCTTTTCAGTGGTCAATGTTCCCTCAGGAAACTTAATATTGTCAGAAACTGAGGAAAGAAGTTTACAAAAGAAAGTTAAGGTCCCAACCCAAGGCAGGAGGTTTTTTAAAGGATGTTTCCTTTCCTGATATGGTTGGGCCCTCAGCCATGACCCAGGAATGCTGCAAGCCCTGTTCTAGAAGTGGAGATCTAGTTCCTGTTCATAAGTGTATTATACACTGGGGTCTTGTTTTTTTGTTTTGGGGGGGGGGTTTGGTACTGGGATCAAATTCAAACTCAGGACCTTGCACTTTTGAGGCAGGCAGCAGAACCACTGAGCTAAATCCCTGCCCCTGCTTTGCTTTTTGTTTTTGTGGTACTGGGACTTGAACCCAGGGCCTTTGCACTAAGCTACAGCTACAGCCTTTTAAAAAATTTTTATTTTAGGCCAGGGATGAAGGTTCCAGGACTTCAAGACTCTGGGGGCCCTGTGCCCCAGGCAGAGAGACCCATACCTGGGAACCAGAAATGGAAGCCTCTCTCAGCCCGGTCTGTTTGGACTCATCAGACTCGAAAAGAAGACTTCTAACTGGCCTGTTCAGGGCAGAGGTGCAGCTGGCTGGAGCCTGGGTCCGGGTGTTCCGCAGGCCCCCATCGGAGGGGCTTTGAACTCACATTCCTGTGAGGGAGGAGCTGTCTGCCTTCTCTCTCGGTTCTGGCCCCTGCCCTCCCAGTTCTAAAGAGGGGGAAACTCCTTTAGAAACAGAAGTGTGATTCTGGGGCACCTGTCTCTGGGGCCGTCTGTCACACATGAGCATTAAGGGCATAGTTTCGGAGGACCTGGGGGCTGGCACTTAAGCCCGTGCCCTCCACCCCTCCCAGGGTCCCCGCAGCATTTGGTGAAGTGACCTCAGTCAGGGTGCAGACTCAGGCAGGGTGTGTGGTTCAGGGAGCAGGAGGAGGCTGGGTTGGGCGTCCTGGCTCTTCCGTGGCCCCCAGCCCTGTCTGTGCTGCTCTTTGTAGGATGGGGAGCAAGGGGCCATTTGAGGGGAAGAGAAGGAGGTTTGAGGTTGGGGGTCCAAGTGAGGGGGCCCCAGGAGGCAGAGGAGTGGGGTCTCGGCCAGGCTGGACTCTGGGGTTCCTTGGGGAAGAGGATGGAGGGGCGATGCGGGGTGCTCTGGGTGTGGGGCTGGAGGCCTGAGGAGATACGTGCCACTTCTGGACCACCCTGGCCCTGGGGGTGGGCTGCGACTTGGGGGGGGACAGCAGGGACCCTGGGGGTGGCGGCCTGGGGGGTGTGAGTCCGGGGGGCTGGGGACCACACTGACTCCTGGCAGAGACAGGTGAGAACCTGGGCCGAGCTCAGCAGCTCAATCCGCGGGCTCCACCAGACCTGGAAGGAATGGAGCTGGAGCCAGAGCCGAGGTAGGTGTGCAGGCCGGCGCGGGAGGGCCCGGGTGCCTGGGACGGGCCGGTCACTCCTGGGCCCTCGGGTCGCTTCTGCCCTTTCCCGCGCGGGTCGTCTCTCCAGATCCGGCTGGTTTCCAGCTCCAGCCCTCCAAGCTGGGGGTGAGGGTGGGTGGAAGGACGGTGGGTGGGTGGGACCCCGAGAGAGGAGAGGGAGCCCCAGAAGTGGCAGTGCCAGAGATGTCCAATAGGCAGGAGGATCGCTGGGAGTTCGAAGCCAACCTGAGCTGCATAGTGAGCTCGAGGCCAGCCTGAACTACAGAGTGAGACCCTGTCTTGGAGAATAGAAAAAAAGAGGAAAAAATAGACTTTGAACTGTTGAGGTGAAAGAAGAGAGTCTAACTTTTGGATCAAGCATTATTGTTTTAGCATCCCCACTCTGTCACTTAGCCCCAGTGTCTGGGTTCCCTGCTAAGTGGGGTGACCAGCTCTCTGCACATCAGGCAGGCTCCTGTCAGTAGGGTCTGTGCCTTGAGCGCTTGGTCCTTCGAAGAACCTGGCCTTAGGGAGGTCCCCTCGCCAAAGGTCACACAGCCCGGAGTTTGGAGCCTGGACTGGAATCAGGAAACTGCTTCCCTGTGATGATACCGAACATCTGTAATCCCAACACTCTGGCAGGCTGAGGCAGGAAGACCACAAGTTTGAACCCAGCCTGGGCAACTTAGTGACTCAGTGAGAACCTGTCTCAAAATAAAAACAGCAGGGGATATAGCTCAATGTGAAGGCCCTGGGTTCAATCCCCAGCAACACACACACACATGAAAAGAAAAGAAAAAGAAAGTCCATTTTTATCTCTCTGACGTTGTAATGCGAGTTGTTTTCTTTCTGGGTGGCTCATACAATAACAGTGGCCTCCATGGTCCCTTGGTTTGATGAGCTAGGACAGAGCAGGATCCCTTGGTGACTTTCCTGGGTGTCTCTTCCACGGGCTCCTCTCTGCCCCAACTGCCCTGTCAAACTGGAGTCCTGTCCTCCTCCAGGGGGACAAGGAGCTCCACGCCCTGCAACACCAGCGAGGTCATGTGGGACTTCGACCCTGAGGACCCGAACTTGATCGACGAGACCCTGAGGCTCAAGTACCTGGGGCCACGGTGGACGGAACTGTTTGTGCCTGTCTGTGCCGCGCACCTGCTCGTCTTCGCGGTGGGCACCGTGGGCGACGTGCTGACCTGTGTGGTCATCCTGGGCTGCAGGGCCATGCGCACCCTCACCAACCTCTACCTGCTCAGCCTGGCTGCGTCCGACTTGCTGGGTCTGCTGCCGGGGCTGCCCCTGGAGCTTTACGAGCTGGGGCACAGCTACCCCTTCCTGCTGGGCTGCGCTGGCTGCTACTTCCGAACGCTGCCCTTCGGCACAGTCTGCCTGTCCCCCGTGCTCAATGTCACCTCCCTGAGCGTGGAGCACTAGGTGGCCATGGTGCACTCGCTGCATGCCAGGTCCTGGGTGACGCGGGCCAACGTGCGCTGTGTGCTTGTGGTCATCTGGGGCCTCGCCATGCTCTGCTCGGTGCCCAACACCAGCCTGCACAGCCTGCAGCAGCTGCAGGAGCCCTGCGGGGGCCTGGGGCCCCAGCTCGGCCGTGCACACCCCCATGGTGTGGGGCACGGCACTGCTCTTCTGCCTGCCCAGGGGCGCCATCAGCGTGCTCTACCTGCGCAATGGGCCCCGGCTGCTGTTCACGGGCTGGGGTGCAGCGGGCACCAGGGCCCGCACCGCCTGCCAACCCCAGCTGTGGGACAGCAGCCACATGCAGGTGACCAAGATGCTGTGTAAGTGTCCCTGCAAGAAGAGGGTTGAGCCGGGTTCTGGGTGGGGCCAGGGCTCCTGGGGCCTTCGCAGGGGCCAAGGGTCCAGCTTTCTGGAGGCTGGTGCGGTTTGGAGAGCTCTGCGTGTGCGTGCATGTGTACGCAAGCGTGTGTGTGTCTGCCCCAACATGGATGTAGGTCCTTTTATTTTATGCTTTATTTATATTCTGAATTTTATTCATTATATGCTTTTTATTTTATTTTGTGCTTTTTGGTGATTTGAGACAAGGTCTTGCTATGTAGTTCAGGTTGGTCTTGAATTTACTGTGTGGCCCAGTCTGGCCTCAAAGTCACTGCCACCCTCCTGCCTCAGCCTCCTGAGTGCTGTGATTATAAGTGTGTGCCACCACACCTGGCCATTGGACCCTTTAGATTACCCTGCTAACAGCTTACACCAGAGGTAAATGTTAATGGCTGTCTTAGTCACTTCCTTATTTCTTTCCTTTTTTTTGTACCGGGGATCAAACTCGGGTCCTTGAGCTTGCACAGCAGGCGGCAAAACCACTGAGCTAAATCCTCGGCCCCTACTTCCTTATTTCTGAGGCACAAGATCTGACACCAATGAATTCGAGGAGTTGGGGTTCATTTCGGCTGACTTTTTTGGGGAAATTTCTGTCCATGTTCAGCAGGATTAAACACACAGTGGCCTGGCAGAGGGCCTGGGAAAAGCACTGCTGCTCAGAGAGGAGGAGCCGCAGAGGGAGGGAGATGTTCTGGCTGCTCATACCCCTGTGACCACCTTTTCCACCCAGGCCCGACTCCCAGCCACAGGGAGGCAGCTTTGCCCCCAGAACCCATTCAGCTTCTACAAGCCCCAACTCTGGGCACACGAGGCGAGGCGAGATGGACTGTGTCATTTGCAGGGTCCTTTGTTTGGCATTACTAAGAATCCAGGACAGTAGCCGGGCGGGCGTGGTGGTACATGCCTATAATCCCAGTATTCAGGAGGCAGAGGCAGGAGGATTTCCACGAGTTCAACGCCAGCCTGAGCTACATAAGGAGACCCTGTCTCAAAAAACTAAAAGAAAAAAGTTCTGATCCAACACAGACAACTTAGCAAGACCCAGTCTCAGTAAAAAAGAAAAGGGCTGGGGATGTAGCTTAGTGTGAAGACCCTGGCTGTACCCCCAATACTGGGGGAAAACTGATAAAAAAGAGGCTTCTCTGGAGGTGCATTTGTGGGGCTCGGTGGACAGCACAGAAGAGGCAGCGAGCGGGACCTGGGGAGGGAACCACGGATCCCATCCCCACGCACCCCACCCCGCTCAGCACCCCGGCAGGGCCTGCACCTGGGGGAGTGGGGGCCGGGCTCGGAGACCAGCCCCACCCCAGACCAGGACCCCTCCTGCGCCCCAAGGCTGGGTCACTGTGCAGCCCCTGGGGAGGGGCTGGCCCGACGCTTCGGGTGCCCCCCCCCCCGCCACCTCCACTTCTGTCCCCTCTGTCCCCAGCACGGCCTCACGGGCCCTCAGCCCCAGAAGGCGGCCTCTAGCTCGCGGCCGTCTCTCCCCCCTTCCTCTTCTGTTCTCTCTGTGCACCATCTGGGACTCTGAAGAAAACCACGCTGGGGGCAGGGGACAAGAGGGATGTCACTGCAGGGGGCAGATGGCAGCTGGGGAAGCACAACCGAGCCAGGTGTGGTGGTGCACACGGAGGCTGAGGCGGGAGGATCTCCACGAGTTCTAGGCCAACTTGGGCTACATAGTGAGCTCAAGGCCAACCTGAATTACACAGTGAGAGCCTGTCTCAAAACAACAGCAACAAGAGAAGTTATTCAACTGGGCTGGGCGAGTGGGTGTGGGCCTGCAGCCAGGGCTGGCTTTTGTTTGTGTGTGTGAGTGTCTGAGTGTGTGTCGCCCTCTCTGGCCCGGGATCTCCTGTCTGTGGCTCTCTGAGCGCCTGCCCCTTCTCCTCTCCTCTGTACTTATGCATCAGCAAGCTCCGGCCCAGCGGCACCAGCAGGGACCTTAGCCCACAGTCTGTACTGCTAGCTAGGAGCTCGGCCACCACCCTGAGACCTCCACTTCCCGAGTCCACAGGAGGGGGTGGGTCAGATCAGCAGGTCCCATGGATGGCAGCCGGGTGGGGGCAGCACGGGCGAGATTCCAGAACCTTCTGGTGGGCGTGGCTGGTGGCCAGGTGGACCCGGGGAGCAGGAGAGGCCTCGGGGGCCACGCGGCTCCTTCTCCGACTGCAGTTGTCCTGGTAGCGGTGTTTGGCGTCTGCTGGGCCCCGTTCCACGCCGACCGCCTCATGTGGAGCTTCGTGTCGCAGTAGACGGAGGGCCTGCCGCTGCCCTTCCTGTACGCGCACATCGTGTCGGGCATCTTCTACCTCAGCTTGGCTGCCAACCCGGTGCGCCATAGCCTCCTGTTCAGCCACTTCCGGGAGAACTTCCTCAAGGCCCTGGGCCTGGGCTTTCGGGGCCGCTGCCCAGGCCGCCACCTCTCCTACAGCCTCGGCAGCGGCCTGTGCGACCTGGGCTGGGAACGGGGAGCCCCAGCCCTCCTGAGAGGAGTCCCGAAGCAGCACCGCCCTGAGGTTCACTCTCGGCCTGGGGCTGCCCGCCCTCCTCTGCGGGGACGCCCTCGGGGCCTGGCCCAGCTCAGCCTAGAGACTGTGACTGGCACCTCGTGACCCTGCCCCTGTGTCTTTGTTTTGTTTTTTGAGGCAGGGTCTCCCTTTGTAGCCCAGGCTGGCCTCGAGCTCTTGAGCTCTGTCAATCCTCCTGCCTCAGCCTCCTGAGTGCTAGGATGACAGGCATGCGCCACCACGCCCAGTGGCCGTGTCTTTGAAATATGAGGGACACAGCAAGAGAAAGGAGACGGTCGCCTGGCCGTGCAGGGCCCACGCTGGCAGGCACTGTGCCACGTGCTTTATGTCCTTCGGCACTGCAGCCCCCACCAGTCGCCCCTGCAGAACCTGGTGCTGGCAGGACCGCTGGTGGCAGACGACCTGGGCACCCTGGGGACCCCGCTGCCACCGCCTGGCCTCGGGGCACCCAGTGTCACCCCACCTTTCTAGGCCTTGGCTCCTGGTCTGCGTGAAGAAAGGCCGGCTGAGACCCAGTGTCACAGGAGGCCACCAGCCTGGTTGCGTGCACACTGGTCACTGCTGGTAACAGACTCACCCAGCCCTGGGATGGGAGAACGGACTTGGGGTGGTGACAGCTCCCCAGCCATGCCCCGCGCCTCACCCACGGGCAGGCTGGCACTGGGCCCGCTGGCCCGAGGACATGTGGGGGCAGGAGTGACCCCCCTGGGGACAAGCGGGCCGGTGAGGACCTCCAGGACACCCCGTGCTCTCTGGACTCTGGCAAGCCCTGGGGCCCTGTCCTCCCCAGAGGGGCCCGGGGACCTGGGTCACCTGTCCCGGCTCTGCTGCAGGTGACTCCTTAGCTCAGCCCTGGGCTCCTCGGCCAGGACTCGGAGTTGATAGCACAGGGTCACCGAGAATGTCCCTTGCTCAATTGTACAGAGAATAAGCTTGCGTGGGAGAAAATGGGGAAAGCAATTTTTATTGTGAGAAGTGAGAAGTTGTTTTCATGTTTCTGTTTCACAAGATGAAAAGTTCCAGAGACTGGTTGCACAACCATGGCAATACACTTCAAATAATAACTGTCCACTTGTGGGGACTTAGCTCAGCGGCACCGAGCCTGCCTCCCAAGCACAAGGTCCTGAGTTAGATCCCCAGTACAAAAATAGAAACAAAACTGTCCACTTGAACACTAGGATGGTAAATTTTATCTCATGTATGTTTTACCACAGTTTTTCGGAAAAGAGAATTAGGCTGGTATGGCGGTGTCTTACTTTTCTAGTCGCTAAGACACAATACCTAACAAAAACAAAGCAAAGGAGAAGAGGTTTATTTTGACTCAGTGTGTAGAGGTTTCATCCATAGTTGGCTAGCTCCAAGGCAGAGGGGAAAGAGCTCATGGCATGGCAGACAGTAATCCCAGCACTCAGGGGGCTGAGGCAGGAGGATCCCAAATTGGAGGACAGCCGGGGAAATGCAGTGAAATTGTTTCAAAATTTAAAAAAAAAGACTGGGGATGCAGCTCAGTGTACAGCTGTCACGTATTTAATCGCCAGTACCAAAAACAAAGGCGGGGGATCCACTGTACATTCTTTCCACTTAATGTATGTTTGAAATTGCCCATGATAAAATACTTCATGTTTTCAACAAAGATTTATGTACACATCGGGGCCTGGGATTTAGCTCAGCGGTTCCGCCTCCTGCCTTGCAAGCATAAGGACCTGAGTTCAATCCCTGGTACCAAAAAAAAAAAAAAGAGGTAAGATCTATGTACATGTCCCTCCATAAGCTTGTGTGCATCTCTCAGTAAGTGGAATTCCTCAAGTGAGGAATAGGAATTTCTTTTCACGGCAACTGCCAAGTTTCTTTACAGGTGTAACAATTTATGTTTTCATGAGTCTCCACATAATCTCAAACATGTTGCTTTAGGGGCCGGGGATTTAGCTCGGGGGTGCCCCAAGCTGCCTCACAAGCGCATGGCCCCGAGTTCAATGAGTGGTACCAAAAAACCAAAAAAACCACGTTGCTTTATGTTTTAATTTCTGTCACTCTGATGAAGGGAAAATTACACTCATCAGACTGAGGATGAAGATGAGCATGACTGAAGAGCCACAGGCCTAGGGGTAGAGGTAGATTTGATTTTAGATGGTAAATTTAAGTCAGAGCTGGGAGGACCCAGATCTATTCTTAGTGAATGCAAACAGTAGGGTTCTGGGCTCTTTTATAGATTTAGGGCCCAGGAATTTGTAATCAGTGTTGGAGGGACCTTTTGCAGTCGGTCCTGTTTCTCAGTTTTGTTTTGTATTGGTGGCGCTGGGATTGAACCAGGCTCTCCCACATGCTACATACGTGCTCTACCACTGAGCTACATCCCCAGGGTATCATTCCCCAGTTTTTTTTTAGATTTCTTTTTTTTGTTTTGGTACCGGGGATTGAACTCGGGTCCTTGCGCAGCAGGCGGCAAAACTGCTGAGCTAAATCCCCGGACCTTTCCCCAATTTTATCTTTGTGCCCCCGGAGTTCTCTGAAAACTGACTTCTCTTCTAGGAACCTGTTTTCTTCTTTTTCTGGTTACTAGAGCCTCTTAGCAAATAAGAGGAGGGAGTAAAACACAGAAGGCACCCTGGACCCCTTCCTTGGTCAGGTCATTGGTTTGTTTTGTGGTGCTGGGGATTGAACCCAGGGCTTCTTGCATGCTAGACCAGCACTCTTACCACTCAGTGACAGCCCCAGCATCCTTCGCTGGTCTGTCCCTGTCCACTTTTCTGCTAGAGATGGGGGCTTTACCGTAATGCATCAGAGTTGTGCGGTTTTTAGAAGGCACTTTGGATTCCTTCATCTGATTTTGTTCACAGTGAATGTTTCCTAGTCATCAGATAGCCCAGTTCCTGCACTTGAGGTGGAGTTAAGATGAAATATTCATCAGATGATGAATGTATTTGATTTGTTTGGTTGTTTTTTTATTTTTTACTTTTGGTACCGGGGATCGAACTCAGATACTTGCGCTTGTGCAGCAGGGGGCAAAACCACTGAGCTAAATCCCTGGCCTGGTATTATTTTTTTTCGTGGTACCGGGGATTGAACTCAGGACCTTGCACTTGTGAGGCAGATGGCGGCACCACTGAGCAAAATCCCCAGCCCAGTTTGGTATTAAACATGTAAAATTTTTAAAAAATTACATACACACACACATACTCATATATATGTATTTTTTTAATTTGTATGTTGGGCCGGGGATTTAGCTCAGTGGCACCACACCTGCCTCGCAAGTGCAAGGTCCAGAGCTCGATATCTGGTGCCCCCCCCAAAAAATTTGTGTATGTATTTTTAATTTTTTTTGTGTGTGTGTGGTGCTGGTGATTGAACCCAGGACCTCAACACTGAGCTACATTCCCAGTTCCCCACCCCTCTTAAAAAAATTTTTTTTAAAAAATTTGAGACAGGGTTTCACTAAATTGCTAAGGTGCCCAGGCTAGGCTCGAATTTGCAATCTTCCTGCCTAAGCCTCTCAGCATGCTAGGACTGTAGGTGTCCACCACCATGCCCAGTTATGAAGTGGTTTTAAATTGTATTTCACTGATGGTGGGATGGTCAAGCACCTCTTCATGCATTTATTAGCTACTTAAATTTCTTCTGAAAATTGCTTTTTTTTTTTGAGACAGGGTCTCGCTTTGTAGTTTAGGCTGGCAACGAACTCACTATGTAGGCCAGGCTGGCCTCAAACTCGCACGATTCTCCTGTCTTGGCCTCTCAGTGCTGGGATTACAGGCGTGCGCCACCACGCCCGGCTTTGAAAATTGCTTTTCATATTCTTTGCTCATTTTTGTTTAGTTCTGTATTGATTTGCATTTTCATATTTTAATAATATTTTTCGGTATGTCACAATTTTTTTTTTTGGTACTGAGGATCGAACTTGGGACCTTGGGCTTGCAAGGCAGGCAGCAGAACCACTGAGCTAAATCCCTAGGCCTATCACAATTTTTTTGCAACTTGTTCCTCCTTTTTTTGTGTGTGTGTTACGGGGATTGAGCTCAGGATTTTGAGCTCTCGAGGCATGTGTGGTGCCACTGAGCTAAATGCCCAGCCTGTTCCTCCTATTTTTAACTTGTTCCTAGAGACTCTGGCATCTAGAAAGAATACATTATAGCTGAGTGTGGTGGTGCACTCCTGTAATCCCAGCACTAGGGAGGCTGAGGCAGGAGGATTGCCACGTTTGAGGCCAGCCTCGGCTACATAGGGAAACCGCTTCAAAATTTTAAAAAAGAAAATTAACTTTTACATTATAGTCAAATCTGTTGTTTTTGGGGGGGGGTGGGTACTAGGGATTAAGCCCATGGCCTTAGGCTGAGCTACATCCCGAAACCTTTTCATTTTTTGAGACAGGGTCTCCCCAAGTTGCCCGGGCTGAGCTGCAACTTGCAACCTTCCTGTCTCAGCCTCCCAGAATCCTGGAACTATAGGTGTGTGGCACCACACCTGGCTTGTCCTCATTTCATTTATGGATTTTACTCCATAAGAGGTGAAATTCGTAAGTTCCAGGCAAACGTTCAGTCCAGAGCAACACACACAGCCTCTTCCGGTCCTCTCTATAACGGTGCTGGGCTCTACAGCTCTCAGCGCTCTGCCACTGTGCCAAGACCCCAGCCCAGCAACAATTTCCATTTTCCCAGAGAAGCCTCCGCAAGTTCAAGAAGGTTTCCTTCTAAAAGGACAGTTTTCCTCCTTTAGTCTGTTCAGCTGATGTGTTTGCTTCCCTTGAAACAACCTTGTGCGCTTGGGATAAGTCCTACTTGGTTAAACATTTTTAATGTAGTGCTTCACTCAACTTCTTCACCTTGCTAATACTTTTAATCTTATATCTTTGTTTATAAAAGATGTGATCGAAAAACACTTCAATGTTTGAAAAATTACAGTAAAAGTTACTAAGCTCTCTCATAAGGCCCCCTCTCACTTCAAACATATTCATTCCACGTTCTTGCCTTTTTTTTTTTTTTTTTGAAAACAGGCTTTATGTAGCCCAGGCTGGCCTCCAACTTGTGGCCACCCTCCTGCCTCAGCCTCCTGAGTGCTGGGATTAAAGTGCCCCGCCATCCCGGCTCTGCATTTTATAATAGATTTTTCAAAGCAGCGTTGATTTAAATATTGTTAAAATGTCACGTTACATACATACACAGCCTAAGCTATACAGAGACTTTGCTCACCCCCCCCCCAATCTAAACATTTACTAAGTACAATTAGTAGCAGAAAGGCAGGTGAAGTTATTTGCGGCCCACTGCCCTTCGAGGAGGTCCCCTCGCACCTGTGCCGCCCGCCGCACTTCCCCGGCCTCTTCGCCTTTTCAGGGCCTCAAAATGGCGCCGAGACAACCACACCTCGGGGGTGGGGACAGCCGGCGCCTGTCCAACCAAAATGCTGGAACGAGCGCAGGCGCAGCACGTGCGGCCCGCTCTTCCCAGGTCGCGGCAAGCGCAAGCTGTGATTGATTGGCCGAGGCCGAGTCACATGGACGCCGTCGCCTTCCCGGCCGTCTTACGTCCGGAGCTCGGTGCTCGGCGCTTCCGCTGTGTGCGGCGGCTGCTGGTGCCTTGTGGGCTGTGGGAGGGTGGACGCCGCACCGGCACGGCTTGAAAGGAGAAACCTGGGGGGCGGGACGGTGCGGGTTGACGTGTGAAGTGGCTCGGGGCTAAGGCTCGCGGCACCGTGACGTGTCGCGGTCACCGAGTTCTCGGACTGCGCGGGGCGGGCGCCTGGGTTCCGGTGCTGTTGTCCTTCCCCTGTGAGGCCTTTGTTTGGCTGTGTGCGCCTCCCTTTGAGTAGTTAGTTACAGGGATTAAATTTTTTAAAATCTGACTTGCAAATGTGATGAGAGAAACGGAAGAATTCCTAAAAGTTTGTCCCTTACCTTGACTTCCGCCTTCTAGATGGTGGCAAGAGATATCTTGGGATACCTGACTTACAACAGACACCAAAAATTGCCCATTTTTCCTATATGTGTTGGTATTTGTTGGTATAAAATATTCCAAATGAAAAAAATGACACCACCACCTGGGTGTGTTGGTGCACACCTGTCATCCCTGCACTCCAGAGGCTGAGGCAGGAGGATCGCTGTAGGTTCAAGGCCAGCCTGGGCTACATAGTTCAAGGACATCCTAAATTATATAGTGAGATCTTGTCTCAACCAAACCAAACCAAACCAAACAAAACCCAAAAGTATCTTCAGAAATTGGCAGACTAATGCCAGTGTTATACATAGCTAAATTAGATAGAAATATTACAGGCAGGGCTAGGGGTGGTGCTGCACCTGCCTGGCAATTGCAAGGCCCTGAATTTGATTCCCAGTCCAGCCGGGGAAAGAAAAAATTATAGGCAGTCAGACAGGGCTAGGCCCTTGAAGAAGTCAGTGCAGAAGATAAGAACAGATTACAACTGGCTGGAGGGGGAGGAGCATTTGCTGAAGGCTAGGCCTCAAGATAAAGATGGAATGACTACACCTACGCACTTCCCCTGTGAATGAACAATAAAGGTTGATATTCTAACTTTTTTTTTTTTTTTGAGGTTAGGGTCTCTTAAATAGCTCAGCCTGGTCTTGAACTCACTAAATAGTCCAGGCTTGGCTCCAACTTGCAACAATCCTCCTGCCTCAGCCTCCCAAGTGTTGGGTCTACAGCGGTGGGCCACCAGGCTGGGCCATGATTGATATTCTAAATAGGGGTTAGTCACCTTCCAACCTTGTGGGAAACAAGGCCGTCCTGACCCATCCCTTCCAGGAAAAGCCCTGGTGCTTGCCACGTATGCCCTTTACGTGATCTGTTTCCCCACTGAATCAATATTACCTAAGGGGCTATACTTGTAGTCTTACTGGTTGAGCATAGGTTTGTCCCACCTTATGCCACCTCATGATTTTGCTCTATAAAACTTCTTTGAGAAGTGGGCTTCTGGGCCCCCCACTTTCCAGGTACCCTCTTCCCTCAGGCAAGACCTGTCTATCCCCCAAATATGTCCTACTCTTAAACTCCATTGTTTCTAGAATTCATTCTTCGATTTTGGAGACTAGGGACTCGGCATATCAGACATCTAACGGGATGAGAGTTACAATATTTCCCGTATACCATTTGGAGGGCCTTATATCATCACCCCCAAAATTTAAAAAGTCAAAATAAGGCTGAGGATGTAGCTGAGTGCAAAGGCTCTGGGTCCAGTCTCCTGAAAGGGACATGGTGGGGGGACAGGGAAAGGAAACAAAAAAGGTGTGGACATAGGTCACTGTTCCTAGGCAGCTGGTGTGCGGATGGTCGGGAAGCACAGTCGCAGCCTCCTGAGTGGGGAGAGCTCGTCCTCAGCCTCCAGCGGGGCCTCCTCCCCACCCTGCTCCTGCTCCTGCTCCAGGCTCTGCTATGCTCCCTAGCTGTTTTCACAACTCAGTTGCTGGCTACTGAAACCCCATCCTTCAAATATTGCTTCCTGGGCTGGGGCAGTTCCATGGTAGAGCACTTGCCTAGCATATGCTGAGCCCTAGGTTTGATCCCCAGCAGTGCCAAAAATAAAAATAAAGGCACACTTACTAATACTCCCAACAAGGTCAGGTCTCTGCTGGACTTCATTTCTGCTCTTACTTTTACTTCCTAGTGTGTCTTTTTTTTTTTTTTTTTGAGACAGGGTCTCACTGTGTAGCCCAGGCTGGCCTTGAACTCACTATGTAGCCAAGGCTGGCCTCAGACTTAGGGTGTTCCTCCTGTCTCAGCCTCCTGAGTGCTGAGATGACAGGCATGTGCCACCACACACCTGGCTACCTTTCAGGCTCTTGTCACAGTTTATATTCTGGATCTGTTTTTTTACCAGCCCTTTCCTCAGCAAGGCCACACTCCCAGTGGCAGAGGCCCAGTCTGTATTTTCCTGGTGATCTCAGAGCTCTGGCCTTAGTCCAGAGTCTGTGTTCATATATGAAATGTGTATTATTGTTTCCCACTCTTTGAGCAGCATTTTTTTCTGTTTTAGAGAACTTTTGTTGTTTCTTAGTTCTAAACTCAGACCAAAAATATTATTTTGTGTTTATGTAGATCAAAATGGCAAAACAAGCTGGGTGTGGTGGCAAAACCCTGTAATCCCAGAACTCTGGATGCTGAGGCAGGAGGATCACCAGGAGTTCAAGGCCAGCCTGGGCTACATAACACAGTGAAAATGCCAAAACCACTTTTGATCTAGATGTCCCCTGACAAAGTGTTTCCGCATGAATGGAAACAAGTGTTTGAGGGAGCTTTTCAAATCAAGTGAGCAGAACCAGGCAAGGTGGCGCACGCTTGTAATCCCAGCATTTGGGAGGCTGAGCCAGGAGAATCATCCCAAGTTCAAGGCCAGCCTGGGCTACATAGTGAGAGTCCCTTTCACAAAACCAAACCAGAACAAAATAAAAAATAGAGTGCATTTGTTTCTTTCAAAAGTGGGAGACTTCCAGGGAGATGGCAGAGTGGTAAAAAGCAGAGAAACAGCATCTCTAAGATTTGGTGTCCAGATGTTAGAATATAGCAATGTGAGGACGAGAAGAATGGGGGCTCTGGGGATTTAGCTCAGTGGTTTTGCCGCCTGCTGCGCAAGAGCAAGGACCCAAGTTCGATCCCTGGTACCAAAAAAAAAAGAGAAGAATGGGGAAAGTCCTGAGTCCCCAGGACTCAGCAAGGATCTGAAGCAAGAATTGACGCCCATGAGGAGAGTGAGGAGAGAAAACACAAGGAAGAAGGAGGTAGCAAAGTAGTGCTTACTCCCTGAGCCCTGACTCACTGCATAGGAGGGAGGCTTCAAACCTGCAGATGCATGGTGACTAGTGGAGATCCAAGAGGCCTCCATGGAGAAATGCACCAGTGGAAAGGGACACAGTGAACTGCAGTGGCTGGTGAGTTATTCAGGTTCAGACATTCCCCAGCAGAGGGCAACTGGCCGGTAGCCATCTTGGAAAGGGGCCAACTGAGCTTGGAACTCAGAGCAGCTGCAGGCTGTCTCCATCTAGCTGCTCCCAGTGTCAGGGTGAGGCAGAACCGAGTTAGAGTTGGCAAGAGGTCAAGGAGCTGAGTTCAAGCCATCAGGATGCACATGGAGTGTTGTAGGCTAAACAAATTGGATTTCAGCCTCACAGCTGGGAAACCAGCCTGAACTTCAGTGGAACTAAAGGTATAGGCTTCCTGGGATTATCCACTGTCCTACCATAAATCTACGGCTGCCTTGGTGGGATTAAAACATGGATCTGGGGCCAGGGATTTAGCTCAGCAGCACCATATCTGCCTCAAAATTGCAAGGTCCTGAGTTTGATCCCTGGCACCCCCCAAAAAAACCCAAACAAACATGGATCTGGGCTCTGTCTGCCCACTCTGTCTACCAGTGATAGCAGAGACATGCCCTGAAGTGAACTTTTTTCTTTTCTGGTTTTTTGGTTTTGTTTTGTTTTCTTCTTTTTTTCTTGATGGTTTGTTCTTATTTTTATGAGAGTGAACATTGTTTCTAGTTTTTTTGTCATTGTTCTGTTATGCTCCTGTTTTTATTTCTGTCTTCTCCCTTTCCTTCCTGTCCTCTTCACCAGTTTTCCAAAGTTTGAGTGATCTTCCTTTGTCCTCCAGTCTTGCTCCTAATCTCTTCCTCTTCTTCTATTTTTCTCCCTAACTCCTTTTTTTTTTCAGTACCAGGAATCAAACTTAGGACCTTATACTTGCCAGACAGGTCCAGTGCCACCGAGTTCCCCCTAACTCCTTTTAAATTTTCTCCCTGAGGGGGAAATCACCATACTGAGGGCATATTTACTGTATACAATTTTCTGGTTTGTTTTAGACTTTGTTATATAATCACAAATCTTGTTCATACAATTAAAGGTGGCAAATTAACAATTACCACAGTTTGTCGTTCTCTAGGGTGTGTTTGCTGCTATTCTTATTGCTGATTGTACTACTTTAGCCAAAGTGACCTAATTGTGCTAATCAGTTGTTCTTCCTGGTATACCAAGACTGAGATCACCCAAGGGTCAAAAACAATGCTACAGGCCAGTGCCAAATAACTAGGGGCTAGGCTGAATAGGCAGAACTTCTCATCCCTAATAAGTTGAAGAGCTAAGATCTTGTAACATACTCAAACCCAAAAGGTGCCTGCACCTGGAAGACATCTTTGAGATGTAGTCATTTCCTAAGGGTTCTGGGGGTGGGAATTTAGCTTAGTGGCACCACACCTGCCTGGCAAGCTCAAGATCCTTAGTTCGATTCCTGGTTTAAAAAAAAATTCTAAGTATTAGCAATAAAGCTACCTGGCATAAACAGTTTACAAGCATCAACCCAGGAATTAAGAAGACACTTAAGTGAGATGCAACCTCAGATTTCCCGCTCACCAAAGCAAACTTAGAGGCCAATGAAGTAGAGCCACCCACCTGGACTCTCTGAAGTGGTAACAGTGGAAATAATAATACAGATGAACAAGGCTCTAGAAAAAGTTAAACCAGAAATAATTTCTCAGATAACTACAGAGATGGTGACCATAATGAAACACATGGTTAGTGACTCTAGAGAAGATACAGATTTAAAAAAAAAAATAGAGGAGCTTAGGAAAATGATGGAATCCATGAACACTCAACATAAAAAAAATGAAATCCATGAAACAGACTCAAAC